GTGTGTGTTGTGTTGTGTGTGTGTGTGTGTGTGTGTGTGTGTGTTGTGTGTTACTCGCCAGCCAGTATAATTTAAGGTGACAATTAAAATTTAAGATAATCATTATAATTTTAGACAATCACCACATACATATATATTTAACTGTGTTGTATGATTTTTACTGTCCCAGAATACAGTTAATTTCTGTCTCTGTCTGTTTGTCTTTCTGTCTGCCTGTCTGCCTGTCTGCCTGTCTGTCTGTCTGCCTGTCTGTCTGTCTGCCTGTCTTCTGTCTGTCTCTGTCTGTCTGTCTGTCTGTCTGTCTGTCTGTCTGTCTGTTTGTCTGTCTGTTTGTCTGTCTGTCTGTTTGTCTGTCTGTCTGTCTGTCTGTTTGTCTGTCTGTTTGTCTGTCTGTCTGTTTGTCTGTCTGTCTGTCTGTCTGTCTGTCTGTCTGTCTGTCTGTCTGTCTGTCTGTCTGTCTGTCTGTCTGTCTGTCTGTCTGTCTCTTCCATCACTCACTGTCAATAAAAACAGATCTCAAAATTTCGTCTTAGTACCGCCGCACAAGATCGCTTCCCCCACAAATCCACAATATATCCTCCTCCCTCCTTCCCCTCGACAGTACCACAATGTCGTCCTCCCCACAATTCCACAAATTCGCCCCCACCTCCACTCCCAACAATTCCACAATACCATATCCCACAGAACTCTCGCCGTATCATACTCCAACGGAATTCCACAAAATTTCTCTACCCTTCCCCACAACACGGCTACCCACAAATCTACAATATCTCCATCTCCACAAATCCTCCCTGAAGATAGTTCCCCACACAACTGCATCGTCAACAGCCTAACTGATCACCTTCATTACTGCGGTTAGGGAACGGCGGATCGAGCCGCGGCCATAACCTGAGCTGAATGGCCCGCACGATTTTAGAGCTTCTCCAGTCGAGGGAGGGAAGGGGGCCTTACTAAGCTTCCGGAAATTTTGGCAAAGCTCACTTTAAGATTTTTTTCTCTATGTTTCTAAGCAAATCTGAGAAGCTCTTTTGCTAGGTGAAGATTCTCCTAGCAAGTTTACATAATTCTAAACTCCTAGGAAGCTTGCAGAGCTACTCAAGCTTGCTAGGAGCAAGCTAGCTAGCAAGCTTACAAGGCTTTTAATAAAACTGCAAGATTTTTAGCAACTTTCACAGTTCCTAGCAACTTTCACAGCTCCTAGCAACTTTCACAGCTCCTAGTAACTTTCGCAGCTCCTAGCACCTTTCACAGCTCCTAGCAACTTTCGCAGCTCCTGGCAACTTTCACAGCTCCTAGCAATTTTCGCAGCTCCTAGCAACTTTCACAGCTCCTAGCAACTTTCACAGCTCCTAGCAAGTTTACAACTCTCCTAGCATGTTTGCAAAGCTTCTCCAAACCTTCTACTACATTTCCAAAACTGCTAGCAATCTTGAAAAGCTCCCTGTGCAATTTCCTAAAGCTCCTAGCAAGTGTCCAAAGCTCCCAGCAAGTCTGCAGAGTGTCTAGCATGTCTTCAAATCACCTAGCACCTTTTCAACGCTTCTAGTAATATTCCAAAGCTCCTAGCAAATTACATACGCTTAGAAATACTTACAGATTTTTCTGTTCTTGATAAAGCTAACTTAATCAAAGGAGCTTTAAAAGCTTAAGTTTAAAATGCTAGAAGCTTTACCAGCTTGAAGGAGAGTAAAGCAAAGGGTGGGAAAGGGAGAAAGGGATAAGGAAAGGGATAGCACAAAGAATAGAACAAGGGCGGTAAAACAAGGGATAGAATAAGGGATAGAACAAGATAGAACAAGGGGGTAGAACAAGGGATACAATAAGGGGTGGAACTAAGGGTAGAAGAAAGGGCTAGACTAAGGGAGCGAAACGTCAGAGGGAATTAAGGATCCAAATGTAGTACTAGAGGCAACTGTGAAGAAAAGAGACAACGTTTCTCCTAGAGTCGAGCTTCATCAAGTCGTGAGCTCTATTAAGCTCTATTATGACCTAGTAAAGTTCTAATCTGAGCGAAACGTTGCCCCAGTAAAAGCTTTTTCTGGAACTTGTGTCTTGTCTTCAGCAAGAGGAATGAAGCAAGGGAATGACCAGAGGAATGAAGCAAGGGAATGACCAGAAGAATAAAGAAATGGAATGACCAGAAGAATAAAGAAATGGAATGACCAGAAGAATGAAGCAAGAGAATGACCAAAAGAATGAAGCAAGAGAATGACCAAAAGAATGAAGCAAGAGAATGACCAGAAGAATGAAGCAAGAGAATGACCAGAAGAATGAAGAAAGGGAATGACCAGAAGAATGAAGAAAGGGAATGACCAGAAGAATGAAGCAAGTGAGTGACCAGAAGAATGAAGCAAGAGAATGAAACAATGAGTGTCCCTGTGCATTAGGAACAGCAGCAACAACAACACTAACGGCAAATTGAACAGCAATGACAACAGCAGCAGTAACAGAAACAGTAACAGTAACACGGAGAGAAAGGTTAGACAGCGCCAGAGGTGCATCACGATCACCGGAACTAAGCAATCCTCCAGAGGGGAAGTGAGACTTGTGTCGCTTTGTATATAACCTCCCACACTATTACACTACACACTACTAGGCACCACTACACACCACTAGGCACCACTAGACACCATTACACACTACTAGGCAACATTGCACACCACTAGGCAACATTACACACCACTAGGCACCACTACACACCACTAGGCAACATTACACACCACTAGGCACCACTACGCACCACTAGGCACCACTAGACACCATTACACATTACTAGGCACCACTACACAGCACTAGGCACCAGTACACACCACTAGGCACCACTACACACAAACAGGCACCACTACACACCACTAGGCACCACTACACACCACTAGGAACCACTACACACCACTAGGCACCACTACACACCACCAGGCACCGCTACACACCACCAAGCACCACGACACACCACTAGGTACCGCTACACACCACTACACACCACTAGGCACCACTACACGCCACTACTCACCACTAGACACCACCAGGCACCAAAGGCACCACTAGACACCACTACACACTACTAGGCACCACTACACAGCATACACACCACTAGGCACCACTGCACACTACTAGACACCACTACGCACCACTAGGCACCACTACACACCACTACACACCACTAGGCACCACTACACACCACTAGGCACCCCAAACACACCACTAGGCACCACTAAACATCACCACACACCAATAAACACCACTAAACACCACCACACACCAATAAACACCACTAAACATCACCACACACCAATAAACACCACCACACACCAATAAACACCACTAAACACCACCACACACCAATAAACACCACTAAACACCACCACACACCAATAAACACCACTAAACACCACCCACACCAATAAACACCACCACACACAATAAACACCACTAAACACCACCACACACCAATAAACACCACTAAACACCACCACACACCAATAAACACCACTAAACACCACCACACACCAATAAACACCACTAAACACCACCACAAAACCAATAAACACCACTAAACACCACCACACACCAATAAACACCACCACACACCAATAAACACCACTAAACACCACCACACACCCAATAAACACCACTAAACACCACCACACACCAATAAACACCACTACACACCAATAAACACCACTAAACACCACCACACACCAATAAACACCACTAAACACCACCACACACCAATAAACACCACCACACACCAATAAACACCACTAAACACACCACACACCAATAAACACCACTAAACACCACCACACACCAATAAACACCACCACACACCAATAAACACCACTAAACACCACCACACACCAATAAACACCACTAAACACCACCACACACCAATAAACACCACTAAACACATCCACTAACTCTTCATTACAACAAGTCAGTAAACACACTAAGCTCTCTCGTAAAGCAATTGCATATAAAGCGATTTTTTCACAAATGCAATTGAAAAAATTTCTCTCCAAATTAAACAATGCGTATCATGGAGGATTTTTCACGTGATACTTAATTTTGGGTGAACTTTTTCGATCTCGTTTAAAAAAATCTCTGTATTGAGGAACTTTTTCAAATGCGATCAAATTCCTTTTTTCTAGTCAGAATTATTATAACCTGAAAACATTCCACTGGAGGATCCCTTCTTCTTCCCTACTGGAAGATCACTTCCTCTATCTGCTGTAAGATCACTTCCTTTCCATAATGTAAATCCCACTGGATGATCTCTTCCCTACTGTAAATCCAACTGGAAGATCTCTTCCCTACTGGAAATCCCACTGGAAGATCTCTTCCCTACTGTAAATCCCACTGGAAGATATCTTCCCTACTGTAAATCCCACTGGAAGATATCTTCCCTACTGTAAACCCCACTGGAAGATATCTTCTTTTCCTTACTGTAAATCCCACTGGAAGATCTCTTCTTTTCCCAACTGTAAATCCCACTGGAAGTTCTCTTCTTTTTCTTACTGTAAATCCCACTGGAATATCACGTCTTTTCCATACTGTAAATCCCACTGGAATATCACTTCCTTTCCATACTGTAAATCCCACTCTTCACCCTTTCACACTTTTATTTCTTACACTTCAGATTCAACATTTTTGTCTTCCTGTGTTTGCCTTCCTTCGACGGCAGCTGTCGCCTCCTCCTAAGACGACCAGAGATTAGCCTCAGCTCACTTGGTTTTTATCTGTAGGTAAAAGGCTGTCACTTCAAGCCTCCTCAGCAGAGTATAGGCTTTGAGTGTGTGTGTTTGTGTGTACTCACCTAATTGTGATTGAAGGAATCGAAGCATAGCTCCTGGTCCCGCCGGGAGTGTGTTTATGTGTGTGTGTGTGTGTGTGTGTGTATGTGTGTGTGTGTGTGTGTGAGTGAGTGTTTGAGTTTTGTGTATTATTCCCAAACGCAAATGCTAACTACAAAGGTGTCCACTAACACATGTATCTTGCCACAGGTGCTACACACTCCCGAGACAGATGACTGGACGCTCCAGGTGCAGTACTCACAGCCTCGGGACTCTGGAAACTATAAGTGTCAGGTCAACTCTGACCCAAAAATCGTCAGAAATGTGTTCCTCACCGTTACAGGTCAGTGTACATCTGGGGGTCAAAGGTCACTGTGCATCAAAGGTCAGAATGTTATTGAATCTCAGAGACCATTCTAGTTATGTGTATCTGGGGTAAGTGTTGCAATGTACGTCAGAGATCTGTGTTGTGAAGTTCGTGAACTATCACGGTATATACTCTTATCAGGAGGGTATATACTGTGTGTGTGTGTGTGTGTGTGTGTGTGTGTGTGAGAGAGAGAGAGAGAGAGAGAGAGAGAGAGAGAGAGAGAGAGAGAGAGAGAGAGAGAGAGAATAAAAACACATATTCACATTATATTTATTGAACAGGACGTGTTTGTGATATCATTTCACATATGTACCGGTAGAGAAACATCTTCCACTGTCGTAATATCCTGTTTTCTTGGTTGTAACATTAAATGAACATGCTGGCCTCTCGCTCTTTCATTTTAATATTTGAGGTTACTGAATCATTTCAATGATATTTACAGCGTCGGGTAGAGAGAGCAAAATGGGCATTTTGTAGGTTCAATACAGAGAAAAGAGGGACATTTGAAGTTGTATCAGGATGTTTTGTGTATACTTGATTGTGCTATTGACAGATGCGAAGATCTGGAGGACATTTGTTCAATATTTTTAATGCACTGTTGATAAGTTAGTCACCTAGTTACCTTCCCACCATTACTCTAAAACCATAAGTCAATGGCATTCGATATTCCTTCATCTACATAACACCACTAGTTACTTACCATCAGCAGATAATTATATATAACGTTTAGAAGCAGCAGCAGCAGCATCAGCAGCAGCATCAGCAGCAGCAGCAGCATCAGCATCAGCAGCAGCAGCAGCAGCAGCAACAGCAGCAGCAGCAGCAGCAGCAGCAGCAGCAGCAGTATCTACAGTGATCCAACAATGGTGACACAATCAATGATGCTGTACACAAGTCTCCGTGGCTTCAGTCCTTAGTGAAGATGGTGCAATTGTCCTCCGTTCTAACACGTATATTCTCTTAATACTTGTGGCTCCCTTTTTTTTCACTCTAAACTACAGTGTGGTGTATTTTTGGTGGATCCAGCGCTAGTAATGTCACTCTCAAAAAGAACGCGAACGTTGCAAAACAAGTTTCCAACGGGTCAGAATTTCGCTGTGTGTAGATAAAGCTTTACACTGTGTGGAAAATCGTCCCATTTAAAGATTGTTTTCAAACGCTATTCTTCGCTGCAATCGGCATTACGCCATTTAGATTCAATCCTCATAATGTTTTGAGATAAAAATTGGAGCATTTAGCAACTGGTGACTGTAACAGAAGCTTTCGACTGCCACATCTTATTACGGTCTGTGTTACGTCAGCTCCGTAGATATAAGGTGAAACTAATCAAGGTCTCGAATAATAACAAGGGGTGAAACAAGTGGCCATTGTGTTTAGTAATTCAAGGACATGAGACGATGACACTGTTGGAGCTGGTGAAGAATTCTTATAGCCACTCTGTGCAACATATACGAAAATATATGAACCGAACACAGGTACAATGGGTTTAGAAAAAGGAAAAATTCTAAGAAAATACAAAAATCTTCATTCAACTGGCGGCCTCGCCACCTAGAAGCGTTGATCTCATCCACATTCCCCGCAGGTGCAGCTGCCGGTGCTGAAATAACAGGAGGATGTGGTCTCAACACGGAGATGGACCACTAGTACAGTACACTGCTTCCAGTACCTACTGCGTTGCAATCAAGACCAGAAAATGTTTTTTAGATCGCTTCTTGCGGCTATAAAACTGGCTGTGTTCATGGAGGTGGATGGGGTTGGGGACGTGGATACCGTGGAATAAGGAGACTATCATGTAGAGAGTTCGGCTAACAACCTAGAGGACCCTGGTTCAATCCTCGGGCAAAACGGGCTTCTCTTGTTCATCTAGCAGTGGACAGATAGGTGGAAGTGGCTCAAATATTGTAGGTTAGATCCTGAAAACCTAAAGAAATGCTAATGGAAATAAGCCACATAACTTCCCTTCTTAGGGTATACTATATTAGTAACTCTTCGTGATTAATAGTCTTTATTCTTTACCGTAGATATTTACATCAATAAAAAGTCTTGATAAAATGAGGGCATAGATAAAATGGACCCGATGCTGAAGGCATATTTTCAAAGATTATCTAAAGTTGGTGCTGGATCAACCGGGTTGTGGTTCGTACGTTAGACTACGTGCGTCCAACAGTAATAGCCTGATTGATCAGGCCCTGATCCACCGGGACGCCTGGTCGTGAACCGGGCCGCGGGGGCGTTGATCCCCGGAATACCCTCCAGGTAGATTAGACTTTTCTATATACTGCAAAGATGTTGACAATACTTAATTTATAAATTCAAATTCACAAGGAAATACAAAGGAGAAATTTCCAGGTGACAATCTCCTATAAAACGACATGAAATTTTATGTAGGAGACAGTAAGACTTTTTTTAAAAATGAATTATATACAATATTTGAAGACTCTTCTCATAAAATAAATCCACATTTACAGCTGAAGGGATCAGAGTACCACACTTGCTATGCTGGAACAAATTGTTCATGATTCTATACTCGTATTTATGTGTATAATACCGACAAGTAGAAGAGTTAGACATATGTGCAACAGTTGCGAATGTCTATTCTCGTTTTCTCATTACACGTCTTTAGTCGAATGCGGAGATGGCAATGTTTACGTCTGAGTGGGTGAACACCTGGTACATGATACAGATAATTTGTTGGTGATAATAGAACACTTAAAACATATCTTGTACGTGCTTTAGGCTTATACTGTCAGGCAGTGTGGCTTTAATGGCTAGGTCAGTGTGTATACAGCAGTGTGGTGGTCTTGACGGCTAGGTCAGTGTGTATACAACAGTGTGGTGGTCTTAATGGCTAGGTCAGTGTGTTTACAACAGTGTGGTGGTCTTAATGGCTAGGTCAGTGTGTATACAGCAGTGTGGTGGTCTTAATGGCTAGGTCAGTGTGTATACAGCAGTGTGGTCTTGATGGCTAGGTCAGTGTGTATACAGCAGTGTGGTCTTGATGGCTAGGTCAGTGTGTATACAGCAGTGTGGTCTTGATGGCTAGGTCAGTGTGTATACAGCAGTGTGGTCTTGATGGCTAGGTCAGTGTGTATACAGCAGCGTGGTCTTGACGGCTAGGTCAGTGTGTATACAGCAGTGTGGTCTTGATGGCTAGGTCAGTGTGCATACAGCAGTGTGATCTTGACGGCTAGGTCAGTGTGTATACAGCAGTGTGGTCTTGATGGCTAGGTCAGTGTGTATACAGCAGTGTGGTCTTGACGGCTAGGTCAGTGTGTATACAGCAGCGTGGTCTTGACGGCTAGGTCAGTGTGCATACAGCAGTGTGGTCTTGACGGCTAGGTCAGTGTGTATACAGCAGTGTGGTCTTGACGGCTAGGTCAGTGTGTATACAGCAGTGTGGTCTTCACGGCTAGGTCAGTGTGTATACAGCAGTGTGGTCTTGACGGCTAGGTCAGTGTGTATACAGCAGTGTGGTCTTGACGGCTAGGTCAGTGTGTATACAGCAGTGTGGTCTTGACGGCTAGGTCAGTGTGTATACAGCAGTGTGGTCTTGATGGCTAGGTCAGTGTGTATACAGCAGTGTGGTCTTGACGGCTAGGTCAGTGTGTTTACAACAGTGTGGTGGTCTTAATGGCTAGGTCAGTGTGTTTACAACAGTGTGGTGGTCTTAATGGCTAGGTCAGTGTGTATACAGCAGTGTGGTGGTCTTAATGGCTAGGTCAGTGTGTATACAGCAGTGTGGTCTTGATGGCTAGGTCAGTGTGTATACAGCAGTGTGGTCTTGATGGCTAGGTCAGTGTGTATACAGCAGTGTGGTCTTGATGGCTAGGTCAGTGTGTATACAGCAGTGTGGTCTTGATGGCTAGGTCAGTGTGTATACAGCAGCGTGGTCTTGACGGCTAGGTCAGTGTGTATACAGCAGTGTGGTCTTGATGGCTAGGTCAGTGTGTATACAGCAGTGTGGTCTTGACGGCTAGGTCAGTGTGTATACAGCAGCGTGGTCTTGACGGCTAGGTCAGTGTGCATACAGCAGTGTGGTCTTGACGGCTAGGTCAGTGTGTATACAGCAGTGTGGTCTTGACGGCTAGGTCAGTGTGTATACAGCAGTGTGGTCTTCACGGCTAGGTCAGTGTGTATACAGCAGTGTGGTCTTGACGGCTAGGTCAGTGTGTATACAGCAGTGTGGTCTTGACGGCTAGGTCAGTGTGTATACAGCAGTGTGGTCTTGACGGCTAGGTCAGTGTGTATACAGCAGTGTGGTCTTGACGGCTAGCTCAGTGTGTATACAGCAGTGTGGTCTTGACGGCTAGATCAGTGTGTATACAGCAGTGTGGTCTTAACGGCTAGGTCAGTGTGTATACAGCAGCGTGGTCTTGACGGCTAGGTCAGTGTGTATACAGCAGTGTGGTCTTGATGGCTAGGTCAGTGTGTATACAGCAGTGTGGTCTTGATGGCTAGGTCAGTGTGTATACAGCAGTGTGGTCTTGATGGCTAGGTCAGTGTGTATACAGCAGTGTGGTCTTGACGGCTAGGTCAGTGTGTATACAGCAGCGTGGTCTTGACGGCTAGGTCAGTGTGCATACAGCAGTGTGGTCTTGACGGCTAGGTCAGTGTGTATACAGCAGTGTGGTCTTGACGGCTAGGTCAGTGTGTATACAGCAGTGTGGTCTTCACGGCTAGGTCAGTGTGTATACAGCAGTGTGGTCTTGACGGCTAGGTCAGTGTGTATACAGCAGTGTGGTCTTGACGGCTAGGTCAGTGTGTATACAGCAGTGTGGTCTTGACGGCTAGGTCAGTGTGTATACAGCAGTGTGGTCTTGACGGCTAGCTCAGTGTGTATACAGCAGTGTGGTCTTGACGGCTAGATCAGTGTGTATACAGCAGTGTGGTCTTAACGGCTAGGTCAGTGTGTATACAGCAGTGTGGTCTTGACGGCTAGGTCAGTGTGTATACAGCAGTGTGGTCTTGACGGCTAGGTCAGTGTGTATACAGCAGTGTGGTCTTGACGGCTAGCTCAGTGTGTATACAGCAGTGTGGTCTTGACGGCTAGGTTAGTGTCTATGTTCGCGGTATTGGCGACCATGTCTGTGTATATTAGTGAACTCGACCCCATACTACGAATAGTAGTAGTAGTAGTAGTAGTAGTAATAATAATAATAATAATAATAATAATAATAATAATAATAATAATAATAATAATAATAATAATAATAATAATAATAATAACCTTCGTTCAGAATCCCTTAGTGCCAATGGTGGCGGGAACAGGTATTGGCAGGCAGGTGGCAGCTCGTAAAACAGATGGTGTTGCAGTAACCACCTGGAGAAAACCCCAAAAGTTCAGCTGGTATTTCAGTGTGGTTTTCTGGACTTCAGGGTGCGAAAGGTTGACAGAGTAGTACGCAGACAAGTGGCATTGCAGAGACCATTTAATTTTTTGGGCAAGGAGGATTTTTAACTTGAGTAATTTCACCCACAATGGGTTTATCATCCACAGTGGGAAGGGTAAAAAAAAAAACTTTTATTTCTAGCCACGTTTTTACCCAGGATTGTGCCACGACAAATCTGAAGTCTACCATAAACTTGGCAAGGCTCAATCCTGAGACAGACATTTTCAAGGTTTGATTTTGCATCACGTGTTTCTACGCTCCTTGAGTTTACACTTTGCATGGTGGATGAGGCGCTACTGATTCTTGCGACTGTAATATTATAATGTGTAATCACTCAACATGTCGCTGAATTAGAACGAGCGATGTCGTACGCATGGATGAGTGTGTGAGGGGATGAGTTAGCGTGTGAATGAGTGAATATGTTAAGTGATGTAGGAATGAATAATCAATATCTGAATAAATGAGTCCCCCAGTAACTCATTTTCTCTCGCACAGAGACCCAATAAAATCACAACACTGCTATGTAAAGTTTAACGGATTAACCTTCATTATATACACTTTAATCCCAATATTAATTACTCAGATTTTCTTGATGATAGTGTATAGATGAACTGAGACCTTAATAACCCACTTGTCGTTAAATAAACTACGTATTATTCTCCCAAACTAACTGACAATGGCTTCGTTTCCTAACCTCTCCTTGAAACTGTCGCAGTTGCAAATAAGGTAAATTTACAGTGTATACGCTAGAGAAGCACTGGAACATTTTTACCCCCTCCCTCAATTATAAACTTGACATTTACGGATCTGTACTCTCGTGTATTCAAGTCATGAAGCGTGTAATTTATAGGGTTAAAAGTCATTAACGTGTATGTGGTTATATATGGTTTGCTGTCGTGTGCATTCAAATGTTGTGCTACGTAAATGTATGCTCACTCTTTTCAGTCTTTTGTTTTTTATTTCATAGGAAAGTTGATAAAGTAGGAGAGACCATGTGAAGCTATGTACTTTCCTGTACATGGGTGTGTATGTTACTGTTTCCAGTACCGGTAACAGCACCCCTTGCTGCAGTATCTGTCCATTTTGACAGCTGCTCAGAGTACCTACTGAAGCTAATTCTCCAGTACTTGCTTGAACGTCTCCTTGAGCGCCTGTGAGTCTTCCTCGCCTGTCTCCTACATATTTATTGACGTTCCTCAGGCAATTAGGAAGTAAATTTTCAAAGACACAGCAATTTGTTGGCGTCCTAGTGTCCCTAATGACTGTATGTGTGCACCTTTCTTAGTAGAAGATGTATTTTCTCTCTCTCTCTCTCTCTCTTCTCTCTCTCCTCTCTCTCTCTCTCTCTCTCTCTCTCTCTCCACCAGTAGAGGATTGATACACACAGCTATTTGTGATGTTATAATTTCTGATGATGAAACAGGATGGTTTATTATTCTTATTATCATTCCTGCCATCATCATCATCATCATCATCATCTCATCATCATCACTATTATTTGCCTATAATGATGACGGAAGTGGTGGTGGTGTTGATTATAATAGTGAGGAGCAGAATTCTTTTGGTAATGATAGTGGTGATGCTTATAGTAAGATGAGAGAGAGAGAGAGAAAGGAGAGAGAGAGAGGAGAGGAGAATGAGAGAGAGAGAGAGTAGAGAGGAGAGAGAGAGAGAGAGAGAGAGAGAGAGAGAGAGAGAGGAGAGAGAGAGAGAGAGAGAGAGAGAGAGAGAGAGAGAGAGAGAGAGAGAGGGCTCATTTATCGTAAAGAGCCTCTCACCTAAAATATACTAGCTTGCCTCTGGTTGCGAGAAACACTTCTGGCACTACACGAAGAGGCACTCTCCCGTATTTACTTGGCACTGCATGAAGGTCATCTCACAACCGTAACTTTTTGAGCACGTAACTAGGGCGTGACACAGTTACAGAGACATCCGTACCTAACAGAAGTGTCTGTGTAAAGTGTAACAGAAGCATCCGTACCTAACAGAAGTGTCTGTATAAAGTGTAACAGAAGCATCCGTACCTAACAGAAGTGTCTGTATAAAGTGTAACAGAAGCATCCGTACCTAACAGAAGTGTCTGTATAAAGTGTAACAGAAGCATCCGTACCTAACAGAAGTGTCTGTATAAAGTGTAACAGAAGCATCCGTACCTAACAGAAGTGTCTGTATAAAGTGTAACAGAAGCATCCGTACCTAACAGAAGTGTCTGTATAAAGTGTAACAGAAGCATCCGTACCTAACAGAAGTGTCTGTATA